TTCATGGTTTTTCCTCTGCCCAGAGCATAGATATGCCTTCCTCTCAGTCACCATCTCTCTAGATCCTTCAATACCAAGCTCAAATCCCACTTTATTTTTAAAAATAAATTTTTCACATGTATTTATTTTTGAGAGACAGAGAGAGACAGAGCACGAGTGGGGGAGGGGCACAGAGAGGAAACACAGAATCCGAAGCAGGTTCCAGGCTCTGAACTGTCAGCACAGAGCCTGATGTGGGGCTTAAACTCACAAACTGTGAGATCATGACCTGAGCTGAAGTCGGTGGCCCAACTGACTGAGTCACCCAGGCGCCCCTCAAATCCCACTTTACAAGAGTCCACATGTCCATCAGTAGGAGAAAGGATACACATTGCGGTGTGGCCATACAATGGAATATGAAAAGTTATAAAAAGGGACAAACCAGTGACACATGCAGCAGCATGGGTGACTCTCACATAAATGATGCTGGGTGAAATAAGACAGATATCCTGTATGATTCCATTCATACGAAGTTCAGAAACAGACAAAAATAATCTATCATGAGGGAAAAAAGCCCCAGAGTAGTGCTTGCCTTTGGGGGGTGGGGGAGCGATTGGGAAAGGGTATGAAAGAGTTTTCTTGGGTGACAGACAGAGGTTTGGGTCATGTAGACACATGAATTTACTAAAACCTGTAAAATGCTATACTTAATATCTTGCACTTCCCCATGTGAATTTTACCCCCTGCCCCCAAAAGTAAACAAATATTGAACTGTAGTTAATGACATGCAAGCTGAAGAATCTAAGGATGAAACATCCTGAGATCTCAACTTATGGAAATGGACTGATGGATGGATGAATGGCTAAATACGTGGTAAAGCAGAGATAGCAGTGTTAACAATGGTAGAATCTAGGTGATGGGTAAAAATGGGTGGTTAACATATAATTCAGCTTTCCTGTGTGTTTGAAATAGTTCATAATAACGCTAGGGGAAAACCATCTGGTTTAAGATTTGATAGTTCATCAATCAAAGAGGACTGGCAATAAAAAAACACACTACAGGAAAACGGCCCTTTGCAGGGGCTATGACCAGGGGCTCAATAAAGAGCCAGTGTCATTCAGGATGTTTTCCCAAATGATTTTGGTTAGTAGGTGCAGCAGAAATTCTCTTCTCTGCACTTTTTCCTGAGTTCCACATCATTAGGTCTTCTCTTTACAGACTAACCCTCTTTTCCTTTTTGTGCGTCCTATGGCCCTGGGCAAAGAAGTACAGACCACCTAAAACTTGTCCTCCAGTAATAAATTTCACAACTAGTTTGATTAATGATTGCACAGTTATTTGAAATGCCACACAACAGGGGTGCCTGGGTGGCTTAGTCCATTGAGCATCAGCTCAGGTCATGATCCCATGGTTCTTGAGATCGAGTCCTGTGTCAGGGTTCGCACCGTCAGAGCAGAGTCTGCTTGGGGTTCCCTCTCCTCTGCTTGGGGTTCCCTCTCTCTCAAAATAAACTTAAAAAAAAAAAAAGAAATACCACAGAACAATGTGGTCTGTTCTCTTTGTTCCAAGAATAAAGAGATCTAAAGAATAAAGAAATGTCAATGTACAGACAGAAAAACTTCCCAGTCCGCTTGAGGTCTCCTGGGGAACAGAAAGGGCAGGACCAAATAATTAGAAATGGTCAGCTATGGAATTTCCTCAGGAATAGCCCAACTTCACATAGATTGGAGGGCTTCTTTCCTCTGTGTTTAGTCAGCGGCTCTATCCTTTTATGACCAATACCTTTTCATTAGAGTCTCTAATTTTATTCCTGATACTCATTTAATTAATGTATTACTTTTTTGTCTCAACTGGGACATCCTTTTTTCACAAGTTTCAACCACTCAGAAATCATTATTCTGATTCTAAACCCTTTTGGGAGCTGGCCAGCCGACCTTTCCCTCACAAAGCCATGCTGCCTAATTGGGTCATTTGCTGTACAGTTTTTAGTTTACAGGACTCTGTAAACTGTGTGTATGTATATACGGCATCTTGTTATAGGACATCTGTTCTTGCATTTGCTTACTAGGTATCTCTTTGAGCTACTAATATTACTCTCATATGTATTTTTATTATATATTTAATAAATGAAAGATTTTAGTTCTTGACATAAATTAGCAACATATACATCTAATCTTTAAAATTTTACTTTCTCCAATCTCATACACATTGACTTACAATTTGCTTATTTTTCTATTTTGCTTTACTCAGATGCCCTACAGACAGGAAATAAAGTTTCAGGTTTTTTTTTTTTCCCCTTGGAGAGCAGAAGCACTCTAAGTCTGATTTACACCCTTAGGTATACTCTAGAATCATCTGCGGGTGCTGTTTACACTGCAGATTCTGGGACCCATCCCTCATACAGGTGTCCTGGGGAGGACAATTCGAGAAACATTGTATTAGGACGTGGGTATGTTATATAATTTCAACCTCAGAGAAACATAAAATGGGCTAACTTGAATATTTAGAACAAATGTGCATGTTTTATTATTTACATTCTAGCCTGAAATTATCAACGCTTGACAGTGCTATTTCATAAATCAATGTGGAAAAAGTAAGGCTTGCATTTCTGTCTTGAAAACAAATAAACCAGGCAACACGAGAGAAAGCCTGATGGCTTGCTAGCAGTCGGTCTTTGGAGTTTTGTGTGACCCATCGCTAATTATGTTTTCTTCTTTACATTTTTAAGTGGACTCTGGAGATAAATTTTCTCTAAGAGTCTGAAATTTTATGTGAGGTGTTCAAGGAGTATCAGGAGATCAACACTTACAAACTAGCAACTTACCAAGGAAGGATTTTTATTAAGGAATACATGAAAATGGTTGAATAATATCAAGATCCCAAAAGTCTTGCAGTGAAAATAGTAGTCCCCGCTTTCTCCCCAACCTCAGCTGTCCTTTCATTGGCAAACACTTACATCCTCTTAGCTTTTCCTTCTGGTAGTTTTGTTCATGTTGTTTTCTTTCCTCCAGTTAACTATTTTGGTCATTTTTCAAATGAATGCGTGTATTAATACGTATTATTTTTAGACTCTTAAAGTTTATAAAAAACCTGAGCAGTCTCCTGCCCTACACCTCCCAATTCTCAAGATTAGTGGCTCTTAACTTTTAGCAGTTTCGTCTGTTGTTTCTTGTCAAATAATTTATCACATCTTGATTTGTTACTTTACTCATTAGTGATTTCCTGAGATGTCAATGAGGATTTAGCTTAGACAACTATCCCCACTTTTCCTCCCATATTGTCCTCAAAGAGTTACCAGATTTAAGTGTATCTTAGTCCATTTGGGTTGCTGCTACATTCTTCAACAAATTTCTAGATAACTACACAGGTTTTCTCTTGGTATTTATTCTTCAGTACATCTGCTAAGTTGAAGAGCATGTGCTTCTTCATCCTGAATAAATATTGCCAACATGGTAAAAGGCTGACAATGTCAAGTATTGGTGAGAATGCCAATTTGATGTATGTGGGATGGTACCTTATTGCAGTTTAAATTTGCATTTCCCCAGTTACTACTAGTGGGAATGTACGTCTTTGCATGTATTTATCGGCTAGTTGTGTTTCCTCTTCTCTAGATGGCTTGCTTCTTTCTCCTATAAATATCTGAGTTCTAAAAATTCTAGACACCTGTACTAATAGTTTGCAAGGAATATGTTCCTTGCAGAGAGCTCCATTGGGTTTTTTAAAAAATATATATTGTTTTTAAAAATTTCTGAGAGAGAGACAGCCAGTGTGAGCAGGGGAGTGTCAGAGAGAGAGGGAGACACAGAATCTGAAGCAGGCTCCAGGCTCTGAGCTACCGGTCAGCACAGAGCCCGACGTGGGGCTCGAACCCACAAACTGTGAGATCCTGACCTGAGCCAAAGTCGGACACTTCACTGACTGAGCCACCCAGATGCCCTGAGCTTCATTGGTTTCTTAAGGATTTTAAGTCTCGGGGCGCCTGGGTGGCTTAGTCGGTTGAGCGTCTGACTTTCGCTTAGGTCATGATCTCGCGGTTCTTGGGTTCGAGCCGCCCGTCGGGCTCTGTGCTGACTGCCAGCTCAGAGCCTGGAGCCTGTTTCAGAGTCTGTGACTCCCTCTCTCTCTGACCCTCCCCTGCTCACGCTGTCTCTCTCTCTCTTCTAGAAATAAATAGAAGCATTAAAAAAAAATTAAAAAAAAAAAAAAGGATTTTAAGTCTCATGCAGTATTGACTCCTAAATCTTGTCTGATCTAGTTTTTTGGTATTTTTTTGTTGTTGTTGTTGTTACTCTATGGAAGGTTTTAGTAAATTTCTTTTTACTCTTGATGTTCTTTATCCTAATTTTACTGCTGAACATAAAGGGCTCAATTATTATCTTAAGTAATGGTTCATGAAATCAAGCACACAATACTTAAAAAAAAAAAAAAAACCCTAATCGCAATAGGCATGCCTAATTCATAAAATAACATGCTTAATTCCGATAGTGTTTGACAGTTTCAGCATACAGTTTCCTACACATACTATATACCATCATTAAAGTTTTTAGGTATGATACACAATTCGCTTCTTTTACTTAACAGTCTTTGGCATTTTTCTGTCAGTACCTCATTCTTTTTAACTGCTACAGACAATATTAAATTTTGCAGACATACTGGTTGGTTATTTCTTTATTGATTGTCATTTGGGCTGTTTCCAAATTTTATTTTATTTTTTAAGTTTTTTTTTTAAAGTTTATGTAGAGAGAGAATGTGTGTGCTTGAATCGGAGGTGGGTGGTGCAGAGAGAGAGAGAGGGAGAGAAAGAATCCCAAGCAGGCTCTGTGCTGTCAGTGCAGAATCCAATGTGGGGCTTGATCTCATGAACTGTGAGATGATGACCTGAGGTGAGATCAAGAGTATGACACTTAAGCAACAGAGCCACCCAGGTGTCCCTGTTTCCAAGTTCAAAAAAATAGGTTCAGCAAATTCTCTTGGGTCCATCTCTTCATTCAGGATTAATATTTAGAAGCGGAAGCTCTAGGTTCAAACCCAGAATATTTTTAATTTTAATTGATATTGTTAACTTAAACTCTAAAAAAGTTGTATTAATTTACAAGGCAAAAAATACTCTTTCCTTGGATACCTAAGGATCCAAATCTTTACTAACGTTATAGGAAACCGAGTTTTAATTTTCACTTTTTAATTCAGTGAAGTTTTTTCGTTTCCAACTTCATAATTTTGGTATCTAGCATTATATAGTTTCATTATCTTTTCAATTTCTAATTTTAGCCATATGCTTGTTTAGAACACTCTTTTTTGTAAAGAACAACTGTATTCTATCAATGTAACATCCATGGAATCTCACTAAAGATCAGAAATAAGTTTTTAGAGGTCTCAGATCTTTTCATTTAACCTTCAAAAAGGTAGTGTCCTACCTGCCTCTTTACTATCCCAATGGAATATACCAGAGTTCCCTCAACTTACTGACTGCCTACCTGAGTGAACAGAACTTTTTTTGAGAAGAGTGAAATGCATAGAGAATTCAAAGTCGCTATTTTGATTTAATTTTCTTTTAATATCTGAGTTCTAGCTCTTGTGTTTATAACCATGTCTGACCTTTGGACAGATCTGTCTGGTTCTGTCTCCATAGATCCTGGTTTCAAGTCCTGCTCTCGTGATTTTCTCACTTTGGTTTTCAAAAGATACGCTACCATAGGCAGATGCTGGTCCTTGATGGGTATCATACAGCTATAGCAAAAAATGTTTCACAAATGGTTATCTGATATGGTCTAGTTAAGACTAATCTTACCTATAGTCTTACTAAGATTAACTTATAAAATCTCATTGCTTTGAAATAATTACCCATTGACCTAAAGTCAACAAAAGTCTTTTTTTTCTAATATTAAAAAATATATAATTGGAGGGGAAGGGGAAAAACTAACTTGACATAAGTCAGAAAACACCTTCATATTAATTGTTCTTCTCATATACTTCAAATTTATATTTAATGCCTTTCTCCTCCTGGACATCAGAAAGAACACCTGGGTATCTGTAAAAGAAAAATATGCATAATAATGTCAATTAAAAAAAGAAAGATATTGTGTTAATTAAAAAGGGACAGCTCAGCCAAAAAACATCAATAAGGTAAATAAAAGTTTTTCCTTCCTTTTTATCTTCATAAGAGTAAGCCACTGTGACATGCAAATATGCTATGGAAAAGTGTATGAAACAGAAAGAGAAAAACTTTCAAACTGTACAGAAAGTTAGAAGATGAAAAGTGCAATTTCTCCTTTCTTTCTGACTCCTATATCTTCTGTCCCAAAATAGCCACTGTCACCAGTTTCCACTATCATCCAGCCAGAATGAAATTTCTTAATGACATTTTGCAGATCTTACACTTGATATCAAATTTCCTGTGAGCAAATGAAAAACAAGGTACAACCTTTAGCTGCTCAGAGCAGAAATGACGTTATGTGTCTTGTGTGGTGAAAGATTCTGCTGTTTAATCAATGGACACCACATTGCTCTAATTTCCCAGTGTGTGCTTCATGGCAATTCTTTTACAGACATCACTGTTTATCGGAGATTTTCTAACTGTAGCTTAGTTTTGTGTTCCCTCCACCTTCCAATTCAAAACCCAAGTCCTCCTTTGGGGATATAACAAGACGTGGAGTTGTTAGATCATGTGGTAGTTCTATTTTTAGTTTTTTGAGGAACCTCCATATTATCTCATTTTTTTTAAAAAAACGAATCAGGATCTCAAAGATATATACCCTCCCATGTTCAGTGCAGCCTAATTTACAGTATCTAAGCAACCCAAATGCCCATCAACAGAACAATTAAACAAAAATGGTATATTTACATACAGTGGAATATTATTCAACTTCAAAAAAGAATGAAGTCCTGTCATATGCAGCATCATGGATAAACTTGGAGGTCATTATGCTAAGTGAAATAAGCCAGTCACAGAAGGACAAATACTGCATTGTCTAAAATGGTCAAACTCATAAGAACAGCGAGTAGAAGGGTGGTTGACAGGGGTTGGGAGAAAGGGGAAAAACAGTTGTTCAAGGGGAATAAAGTTGGGGCTCCTGGGTGGCTCAGTCAGTTAAGCGTCCGACTTCAGCTCAGGTCATGATCTCACGGTTCGTGGGTTCGAGCCCTGTGTTAGGCTCTGTGCTGACAGCCAGCTCAGAGTCTGGAGCCTGTTTCAGATTCTGTATCTCCCTCTCTCCTTGACCCTCCCCTGTTCATGCTGTCTCTCTCTCAGAAATTAATAAAACATTAAAAAAAAAACAAAGGGAACAAACTTTGTTGTGTATGATGATTAAGTTCTAGAGATGTGCTGTGCAACACTGTACCTATAATTAACAACACTATATTGGGTAATTAAAATTTTGTTGAGAGGAGGTCTCCTGTTGTATTCTTACAATAAAATTTTTTTCGCACTGAAAAACCCAACACCAACAAAAAATCCACTCAGGTCCTCCACTGAGGACTGTACTGACCACTCCCATCTCCAGCCCAAGTCTTGTACTTCCTCAGTATTGTGCAAGCTGCACCCCTATATACTCCAGGTGGGGGTGGGGAACACCTGCTTTAGTTGGACTTGTGTTTGACTCAGGTTCTCCTGTCTTCACCCTTATGAATAATTTGGCATTGAGGTCATTACATGAAGTGCTCTATAAATGTTATCCTTTAATATTATGAGTTTGTTTCATCCCCGCATTTCTAAACTCATTATAGCGGGGATAAGACAGGAGAAGATTTAAATCTCTTAGGATATCCAATGCAATGTTGAGTAATAATGGGTATTAACCTTTTGTTGACTAATCAGAGGTTATGCCATTTGATAAAAAAACATAAACATATAAAGTAACAATAGTATAGTAACATATAAGGAAAATAAAAAGCCGTTTTTTCTTGAAAAATTTACATTCCAGAGGAAGAAGCTATGTTTCTATTTACTAACCATTTTCTGAGCTGTTTCTGTTCAACTGTTTTAGTAGAAATACAGCATTTTTCTTTTTTTAAAGCCATGATTTTATGAGGCCAACTTTTAACCATAATTTTAGTTTCTTTGGAATGAGTCACCAAAAGTAACATTTACATTTTTGTGTGTTTGTAAAATTCTCAAGAGTAGCAACATTCTCAGTAAGATAAAAGCAAAATATGAAATTATTTCTAAAACCATGAATAATACTTAGAAATACTATATTATTGGCTGGGTATGGTTACTAGCCATGGTATTAATGTTAATCTGCTCTGTGAAACTGAAATTCAATTCTGCTTCAGATTAATTTTACTTTCCATAATATTCATATATTCAGTCTGTTTTTTTTTTTTTTCTCTTTTTAAGAAAGAGAGCATGCCTGCACAGAAAGAGAGAGAGAGAGAGAGAGAGAGAGAGAATCCTAAGCAGGCTCCACACCCAGTGCAGAGCCTGACAGAGGGCTCAATCTCGCCGCTGTGAGATCATGCCCTGAGACAAAATCAAGAGTCAGATGCTTAACCTAGTGAGCTACCCAGGTGCCCCCATATTCAGTCTGTTTTAATAATGATATAACTACCCCAACCATCATAATTCTAAACTTTTCTGAAGAGCAAACTGCCTAGGAGCCACATATGAACTCTGTGTTTAAGCCTAACAGGATGTGGAAATGCCTCCTATTTGTTATGAACCACCCAGAGATCCTCCTCTAGAATCTTCAGGCAGTAAGGAATCCAATTGATATGAAGAAACATAAGATCTGAACTGACAAAGCATGAAAATAATACTGAGATGATTTAATGTAAAGTCTAAAAAGGGGTAAATAGTTATAAAACAGTTATCTCTAAGAAACAACTCACAGCTAAAATAAAATGAAGACTATAGCAAGCACAGGCCTAGGAGGAAACACAAATAACATGAATAAGGATCCTGTTGGATAGTCAGGAACTAATGGGAGCAGAAAAGGAAATATCAGCCCATCAAAAACCTTCTTAAATTTGTCCATTGATAAGCAGCATCTGTCCCAGCTCTGGAGCTGACTATGGTCTCAAAGGCCTCTTCTGGTCTTCATCCTCTTTGCATAGTTACATGGAAGGTTGTAACTACAAGGAAAAACCTGATTGGGGCTCATTAAGCAGAACACTGCTGGTATAAAATATTTGGGCCTGCTGGTTTGGCTGGAGCCTAGTGTGAAATAGTCTGAGATGGGAAAGATTTCTTCCAGGTAAGATGAATGAGGGCACAGCCTTACAGGACAGGCTGGCATGCTGCTATCCAAAAAAAAAAAGAAAAAAAAAAAAAGACATAGACAATGACCCATGGGGGAAAAAGGCAGACAAAGTAAAACGTAACTTTGTTAAGATTTATTTCTGCTTTTAGGTTTTTACCACTTGTGGCTTCACCTACATTCTAATTTTATTCTCTTTGTGCTTCACAATAGTCCTCTCATCTTTATTTCATCTTACTAGTGCTTTTATTACCAGGAATATGGTGTTAATAAAAGATAACTGTGTTTGAACTGAAACTTATGTAACCACAAGAGGGCCACTAATAGAGGGGGTGGGGGTCTAAACTCTGTAGCTGTGGGAAAAGAGAAAGGGGGAGTAGATAACAATCAAGAGTTCATTTCTGGACAGTATGAAGCAATTCTAAGTTCCCCAATGTACAGAGCTTTGGAGAGAAAGCAGTTCAAGAAGTGAGCAACATTAGAGACTTCCAGGGACAAAGTATATTCCCTTTGTTTTTCCAGGTTTCTCTTTTTCCTACTTCATGAAAGACTGATCTACTCCAGATCTCCCCTTAGTGGATTCCCTCCCCTCTGCATTCAAGAGGTTGTTATAATGTTGGTACAGGCTTGAAAGTAAGATAAACATCAAATGATGTAATAGAAAAAAAACCCTTCATTTTCTTTCATAGCCTTGTTTAGAATGTCCATTTTTGGGCAATTTCCTTGGATTTTGGGTAGAAATATCCTACCTGAATCTTCCCACTATTTAAAATTTTCTAAGACATTTAAAGAACTGGGGAGCCTGGGTGGCTCAGTCAGTTAAGCATCCGACTCTTGGTTTTAGCTCAGGTCATGATCTCACAGTTCATGGGTTCGAGCTCTGCTTTGGGCTCTCTGTTGTCAGTGACAAGGCTGCTTGGGATTCTCTCTCATTCCCTCTTTCTGTGCCCTTTCCTCATTCTCTCTTTCTTAAAATAAATAAACCTAAAAAAATAAAAAAAGTAAGGACTAATACCAATCCTTCACAAACTCTTCCAAAAAAAATTGAAGAGGAAAGAGACCATTTCCTGACTCATTCTGTGAGGCTGGTATTCTCCCGACACCAAAACGAGGTGAAGACATTATTAAAAAAGGAAACTACAGACCAATATCTGTTACGAACATAAATGCAAAAATCCTCAACAAAATATAAGCAAATTAAATCCAGGAACATACAAAAAGGACTATACATTACTACCAAGTGGATTTATTCCAGAAATGCTAGAATAGTTTAACATGAAAATCATTCAATATAATACACCATATTAGTAGCCTTTTAAAGACAAAGACCACATGATTATCTCAATAAACTCAGAAAAAGGATCTGACAAAATCTCACACTCCCTCATGATAAAAAAATGCTCAATGAAGTAGAAATAGAAGAGATCTTCCTCAATGTGATAAAAGGCATGTATGAAAACCCCACAGATAATATACTTAATGGTAAAAGACTGAATGCTTTCCCTTTAAGAGCAGGAACAAGACAAGGATGTCCTACCCTTGCCACTTCTATTTATAATTAATTGCACTGGAGGTTCTAGGCACAGCAATTAGGTGGGGAAAAGAAATAAAATTAAAAAATAATCTAGATTCAGAAGAAGTAAAACTACCTCTATTTGCAAATGATATCCTACACAAAGAAAATCCTAAGAAATTCACTAACAGAATACATGAGTTCAGCAAGGTTGCAGGACATAAGATCAATAAACAAAAATCACTTGTGTATCTATGTATTACAAATGAGCAGTCTGAAAACAAAATGAAGAAAATAACTCTGTTTATATTAGCATCAAAAAGAATAAAATACATAAGAATAAATTAAAGAAGACCTAAATAAGTAGAAAGACATGACATGCTCATGGTTTAGAAAAATAAATATTGCTTAGATGGTGGCAAAATTCTCCAAAGGGATTGTTGGTTGCCCAATTCTGTGAATATACTGAAACCACTGAATTATATACTTTCAATGGGTGAATGGTGTGATGTGTGACTCATCACTCAGTAAAGTGTTAACATTTTCATTTCTAAGAGCCAGGGAGCCAGAATGGTATTAAAATACTGTAAGTTTTCAGGGATCCTGAAGGATCAGTTTTAGAAAGAGGTCTGAAGGAGAGCAAAGGATTTGGAAAGGCAAATTCACACAGTAAACTTCTCTTTTCTTTTTTTTTTTAGGATCAAAGAGATAGATAGGAATGAGGGACAACAGAGATCAATACTGACATAATGTGAGAATCAGCAACCTAAGTACAAGAGAAAATATATAAGGTGTGACAAAGAAACTCAAATGATTTTATAAATATACATGAAATCACTCAGTGATTTTTCTATGCAGTCACCTTTGGAAACTAAGCAAAAGCCTGTACTTGAGCTGTTTAGAAAGTTTTTAGAGTTCCTACAATTTTCAGTTCCCTTTAGAGCTAATTCAGAGCCCAAGGAAGTCTCTCACACATGTTATTAGATTCAAGACTATTACCTAGTACTCTATAGACTATTCCTCTAAAGCTTGGCCATCCACTTACTTAGATTTGGCTCAGAATGGCCTTTTAGGAGGTATTTCTCAAGACAAACTCACTCTCAAAGAATAATGACTGCATTCAACTGAGAATATTTGGAAGGATGTGTTAAAACCTAGTCTGAAAGCACTGACACAATTAATCTACTTTTACTCTATGAAAAGTGCTTTTACACTAAAATGCAATGAGTTTTCAAAATCAAGCAGTTTCTGTAGTAACCCCCTCTTCCGTCTCCACCACTGCCAGCCAAGTCCCTTGTTCTTTCACCTCAACTCCTGCAGCTAACTTGTCTCCCAGCTTCACTTTTGTCCCTTCTGTTCTGTTCACAAACAGCTGGAACAGTGTCACTCTCTATTCGAACCCTCTAAACTTGCATCTGGTCTGAGCCCTCTGGCCTCCCCCTTGCTTACAATGCTCACAGTAGTTTTTCAGGGTCAGGGAGCACACCACGCTCGTTTGTGCCCTCTGGTCTCTACACTATTTCTGGTTTCTGCAATGCACTTCTCTTTGTATGGTTGGTTTCTTGCCATTTAGATCTCAGCGTAGACCCCACCTCTTCAGAGAGGACTTCTCAGACAATACAGTATTTACCACATCACAATATTTCACTTCCCTGTACAGCAACTCTCTCGATGTTCATCTATCATTTGCTAACCTCCTTCTCTACTACAAAGAATCTAATCCTAGAGAGCATTGACAACATCTGTTATGGTAAGCACCGTTTCCCCAGTGCCTAAGACACTGTCTGATGCTAAGCAGAGATCTCATAGAATGAAGTAATGGGGCGCCTGGGTGGCTCAGTCAGTTGGGCATCCGACTTCAGCTCAGGTCATGATCTCATGATTCGTGGGTTTGAGCCCTGCGTCGGGCTCTGTGCTGACAGCTAGCTTGGAGCCTGGAGCCTGTTTCAGATTCTGTGTCTCCTTCTCTCTCTGACCCTCCCCTGCTCATGCTGTCTCTCTTTCTCTCTCAGAAATAAATAAAACATAAAAAAAAAAAAAAAGAATGAAGTAATGACTACTCTCCAGATTTCAGTAAAATTATTAGAACTTAGATATCCCAAGAGCTTGTTAAAGTAGATTTCCAAAAATTCCTGAAGTATTTGTCCACCGAACATATTACTACTCCAAATTCAATATGAAGAGATAAACTGTTTCTCTAATTCTTAAGCAGAAAAGCCAAAAGTACTTCAGACAAATTAATAACATTTTACTTACTCTGGGAGAAGTTTATATTTCTCCAAATCAATTTCTGGAAAAAATGTGTCACTTTCAAATTCCTGCATAATCCTTGTCACAAATAGTCTGAGATGGCCTGGCCTGTTCATGGCTTCCTTTGAAAGAACACAAAAGACATCACTTTATTTATCTGTTAAAAGAAACAGAAACTATAAGATTTGTTTGTTTAATTACATAGTCAAGTTTGTATCAGGTATTAAGAGACATGCTACATAACTTGTCACCTCCAAAGCATGCTATTGAAATTTCCTATTGTTAAATTTGGGGTCCTGCAAAGTATGTCTGAGTTATTTTGAGAATGGCACTAGTCATTATCAGTAATTATGAGAGTGAGTTTAAATATATTCTGGCCTCTAGTTTGCTTACATGAACTCTTTTTTCATTTAAGCATTCAGTATTATTTTTTTCCTTTGGTGGTAGTTTAAGAATTAAGAACCCTAAATTATCTAGTTGCTCTCCATAGGAAAATTGGCATATGTATATATGGATAAGACATTATAATTTTATGAAACTTTGATTATTGAAAATCCCTAGGGCATACTTAATTAGTACATTTACAGAGAATTTAATAATGCTTCCATTTCTTAGCAAATAGCTACAATGCTAGTAGGTTATTTACTTTCTTAGCCCCTTATTGCAAATGATTGTATTTGGCCTTATATTGTTAATGACTTTTCTAACTCTTGCCTATGGTACTGTTGATAGTTTCTATAGAAAAAACTGCCTTGAATGAATATCTTAAAACTCTAATAAATAAAGTCATGAATCCTAACTGAATTTCCAAGAGAGTAATAACCCTTGATTTTCAAAGAGCTTATGAAAGAAAAAAATACAGAATTTCAAGTGTGTGTTATCCTTGAAATTCCAAATAAGGCCACAGAACAAATGTTACTTTTTATTTTTGGCTTTCTACTACAGCATATATTAAGTAATTTATCTTCTTGCCCCACCCAAATAAATATCCGACCAATTTTAATGTTATCAAAAATTAGAAAACCTGAATAGGAAGAACCACGGCAGCATGATCTGTATCCAAGGAAGTGCTATATGGCACAACCTTTTCTGTAAAGGGTAAATATTTTAGGTTTTGCGGACCATGTGGTTTTTTCTTAACTTTGTGGGCAACAGCAGTTGTTGACAATACTAAACCAATGGACACGGCCACACGTTCCAATGAAACTTTGTTTACAAAAACAGGCTGGCCCCACGGAAGATAAGCTTAAACGTCGTTCTACAAGCTATTGTGATGAGAAGCAGGTGGATAACACAAAATTATCAGTTGGAGATTCTACTTCCTTATAATTTACGTACATATAGATATATCAAATTATGTGTATTTAAATATTTAAAAAAATAGATTTAAGTGAATATGGTATTTAATCACTCAAAAAGCGTATTAAACAAAGAAATGACTTGTTTTCCTTAAAATTCACACTTGGCTGAAATATCAAAGGAAAATATCCATTTCCTCATAAAACAAATGAAGCAAACAAAAGGTTATTGAAACAGGTCTGGGATCCTGGTGTATATCTCTTCTTTTAAAACAAATTCAGTGTTTATGTTATCACAAGCCACCAACATGTAGGGGCTAGATTTTTCCTTCACATAAACTTTAATTTTTTATTAGTGTTTTAAAAATTCTATTTATTATCCTCAAAAATTTTGAAAGCTGAAAGGTATCTGGTATTCAGAAGAAGAAATACTTTTGAGCACCTGGCTGTCTTGGTCTGTGGAGTGTGCAACTCCTGATGTCAGGGTTGTGGGTTCAAGCCCCATGTTGGGTGTAGAGATTACTTAAAAAAATAAAATCTTAAAAAAAAAAAAAAAGAAGGTTTCAGCTGGAGCCTCCATCTTCCAGTAATTCATCAAGGGAAAGAGGAGAGGTACCCCACTACATGTTCTCTAGACCTTTTAGAAAACATGGAATTGTTCCTTTGCCACATACTTGAGAATCTGCAAGAAAGGTATGTTTTGGACATCAAGGGAATGGGCACTGTTCAAAAAGAAATGCTTCACAAACGTTACCACTGCAAAACTGGAAGAGTCTACAGTGTTACCCAGCATGCTACTGGCACTGTTGTAAACAAACATGGGCGAGATTCTTGCCAAGAGAATGAATGTACATATTGAGCAAATGAAGCACTAAAAAGAGCCAAGACAGCTTCCTGAAGTGTGTGAAAGACAATGATCTGAAAAAGAAGGAAGCCAAAAAGAAAGGTATGTGGTTTCAACTGAAGGGCCAGCCTGCTCCACCCAGGGAAGTACACTTTGGGAGAACCAATGGAAAAGAGCCTGAACTGCTTGAACCCATTCTCTGTGGATTCATGGCATGATAAATGTTAAAAAAAAAAAAAGAGACACAGAGAGAGAGAGAGAGAGACCTCAAGATTGGGTAAAAAAAAAAACCCTAAGGGCTCTTTTCTTTTACTTGTTTTTCTTATATTATGAAATCATTATACAAAATTGTTGTTTCCTTTCAACAAATTCATATACATCTAGTCAGTGTTTACCACCTGAGAGCCCCATCCCTTTCTCAGTAAGAACCTACATATCCTTGGAAAAAGGGGATAATTCAGTATATCAGGGCACATCCAGGGAGCAGAAAACAGTGCAATGCAAGTATAATTCTAAGGGAACGATTTAGAATGTTCTTATAATTTTTTAATGTTTATTTATTTTTGAGAGACAGAGAGTGGGAGTGGGGCAGGAACAGAGAGAAAAGGAGACAAAGAATCTGAAGCAGGCTCCAGGCTTCAGCTGTCAGCACAGAGCCTGATGTGGGGCCTAAACTCACAAACCATGAGACCATGACCTGAAGTCCGTTGCTTAACCAAATGAGCCACCCAGATGCTCCTCGAAGGTTTTTTAAATTAGAAACATCAAATATTTTGAATTGAAAATAAACTAACCAGGCTTAAAAACTGACTTAGATATTTTTATTTAGTTTTCGTGATAGTATCTAAAACAAATAATTCAAATTGACAATGTGTCTAGCTTGCAGTAGGGATACTATATTTCCTTTGTTTATGGCTTAATTTTTCTAAAGTTCAGATGGCAAGAAGTTGAAGGAAAGTGGGGAAGAACATTTCTTTATGCTTTTACTTACCTTATAAACAGAACTGCCTCCCACTACCCAAACCATGTCCACTTTATCTGCTAACTCTGGTTGGTCAATAAGTTTTAAGGCATCATCCAGACTTTTGGCAAGAAAATGAGCTCCTTGTGGAGGTTCCCTGAGGTTAAAGAAATAATTACAAATAATTTCTATGAAACCCATTGATACTAGTCAAATAATCTATATAGGAATAAGTAATTATAAACCAAAATCATCATAAATATGAATTCTTTCAATAAAAAAACACAATAATTCAATCAGTAATACAATATGACCAATAATTCAAATCATATGTGTGTATATATCGTTCACAATGAATCAAAAAACAAACACTTCTGGTGATAATTATGGTTGAAAAGAGTCAGAAAAGTAGTTGTCTCTGGAGGATAGGATAAAGATTGATTGGGAAGAGGCATAAGGGAACTTATAAGGGGTCATGGTAACATTCTCTGTCTTTGGTATGGGGTTATATAGGTGCGTGCATTTGTGAAAACTTAGCAAAAGTACACTTAAGATTTGTACATTTCAATGTATATAATATTCATCACAAAAGATGGGGCGCCTGGGTGGCTCAGTTGGTTAAATGCCTGACTCTTGATTTCCACTTAGGTCATGATCTCACGATTCCTGAGATCAAGCCTCGCATTGGGCTCTGTGATGTCAGCTTGGGATTCTTGCTCTTCCTCTCCCCAACTTGTGTGTAGGCACACTTGCATTGTTTGCGTTCTCTCAAAATAAATAAACTTTTAAAAAAAAAGGAGAAAATTGTAAAGAAATAGTAGACTCTAGTTAGTGATATATATGCTGAAGTACTTAGGGAAAACATCCTAATGTCTCCAAGTTATTCTGAAATGCATTAAAAAAAAAGACCAATTGATGGATGGATGGATGGTAAAACAAGCATAACAAATTATTAATGGTAGAATCTATGTGTTAGGTATACAGGTGTTTACTGTAAAGTTCTTTCCATATGTTTGAAAGGTTCATAATAAAATGTTGGAGACAGAGTAGTATGTTTGAATGACTGTAGTATGGAATGATATTCAACCTGTTAATATGTGATGAATGGGGAGTAAAAGACTTCATGTTTCAAACAATATAGAAATGGATAATGTATTAATAAATGAGCATATGGCGAGGATGTGGAGAAACGGGCACCCTCCTGCACTGTTGGTGGGAATGTAAACTGGTACAGCCCCTCTGGAAAACAGTGTGGAGGTTCCTCAGGAAACTAACAATAGAACTCCCTTATGACCCAGCAATAGCACTGCTAGGAATTTACCCAAGGGATACAGAAATGCTGAGGCATAGGAGCACATGTACCCCAATGTTCATAGCAGCACTCTCCACAATAGCTAAAACATGGAAAGAGCCTAAGTGTCCATCAACAGATGAATGGATCAAGAAGATGTGGTTTATCTATACCATGGAATACTACATGGCAATGAGAAACAATGAAATCTGGCCATGTGTAGCAACATGGATGGACCTTGAGGGTGTTATGCTGAGCGAAATAAGTCAGGCAGAGAAGGACAAATACCATATGTTTGCACGTATAGGAGGATTAGGAGGAACTTGACGGAGGACCAAGGGGGAGAAGAAGGGCGGAAATGGTGGGGGAAAGGGAGAGAGGCAAACCATGAGAGACTCTTGAATGCTGACAAAAACTGAGGACTGATGGATGTGGGGGGGAGGGGGAGATGGGCATGAAGGAGGGCACTTTGGGGATGAGCACTGAGTGTTATGTAGAAACTAATTTGACAATAAACTATTTGTAAAAAAAAAAAAAAAAAATAAATGAGCATATTATTTTTAAATTAAAAATCCAAAGGAGGAAGAGTTAATTTCAGTGTTACAACTACAGCTTAATTTCTCCCTATCTCCACAACTGTTTTGATGATGTTACTGTTTTTTTGGGGGGGAGGGGGGGTGATGGAGAGCTGTAATCCTTTTATAAATGAAGAAACATGTAGAATCTGGCTTTCATTGTAATTAGACAGAGAACAGAAATTACAATTCAAAGTCAAGTTCTTAGAGTAATGCTTTAAAGTTATGTAACTGCCTTGAATTAGTGGTTATAACAATGATTAATCAAGAGCTAATGGAGATTATTCATTCTCTTCACTGCCTCCTCTCTCATCTCCTTCATAGATATTTTACTTATTTCATTCTGTCATCTCTATAAAGGAGTTAGGATAGCACAAAGAATGTACTTTGTCTAAAAGCTGGAAAAGGACTCAGACGCCAGGGTGAGGTTAAATGAGCCAAGGAATTCTCTAAGGTGTCAGAGCGACTGCAGCGAGTAGGTTGGACAAGGCTGTGTAGGGGGAGAACTGAATGTAGATTTGAGCTTGGGGAGAAGATAGTCTAGTTAATAAAGTCTGGAATGATTGAAACAGAGTCAACGTGGCTTTAGTAACTGAGGATGCTGAAGTCAGAAATGATGACAGGAGTCAGGGTAGAATGAAATATGGTGATATAGGATCTGACGTAAGAGGAGAATTAGAAGAGGTGCCCTAAAAGTTGGTGGGTTATAGCAAAAATAATTTAGAAGGTGGTATAAATGGCTGGGTGGACTTCAAAGAAAGAGGGCAATCATTCTGTGTAGACTGGAAGAATGGCATGAAATGGTTCCAGGGCTTAAGGTGAAGACTACTTTTTTGACCAAATTTTGTAGTGAGTCTAGAAAAGGAAAACAAAGACCAGATTAAGGATTTGTTTTAGATTTTAGTTATCATAAAGACATGGAGGAAATGCTTCTGCAAAATGTTACTCTTTCCTGCTTTAGAAATTTGAAACATTTGATCCAAGGTAGGTAGAAAAAAATAAGTAAATTAGCCCAACGTGTTCACTGTGTAAAAGCACAAATCCTAGAACTAACAATGAATAGCATATAGCAAGCACTCAATACTGTGACTTATTTCATTGCTAAATTTCCTTCCTATATTTATCTCAGACTAAAAGAGATTGCATTCTCTAACAAGAGAGGTTTGGTATGTGGTTGCATATATAGTCAAGAAGCATGTGGATATCATTGATATCTTGTTTCCAACTTAAGAGTCTTAGTTCCCACAGAGGGTTGGCATGAGGACTAAGACATAATGCACATAGTAGGCACACCAGTGATACTTCTTTCCTCCCTATTCAAGAGAGGCTGCTTTTTACCTGATGGATAGTTACATTAGAAAGAAAATATCTAACATTTGAGTACCCACTCGCTCTCCCAAGTAGTGGGAACAGGTAGCGTTTTATCTGCCTCATATTAGCAGTCCTATGTAAGTACTTTCATTCCTTTTATAGATGATATTGAGGGTGAGGGATTCAGTGGCCAGTGGTAACAGATCTAGGAAATGGTGGACCTGAGATGTGAACTCCAGCAGCCTGACGTTGGAGTCTGTGTGTTACAACTCCCTACATAGTAGATCTGATATTGGTAGGGTACTTTCTGTGTGCCAGAAATTTAACATACAAAATTTCAATGAATCCTCAAAATCACCCTAAGAAGTTCTCATTATTAATCCCATTTAGTAGATAAGGAAACTGAGGCTCAGCGAGGCTTCAAGTTAATAGGTACCAGAGTGGGTATTAGAAGGCAGGTTGGTAAGTCTTTGCTATACCAACTGTGTGAATGGTGAGGAAAGAAGAGAGAAAGCTTTAATCACTGTGGAGAATGACAGGCCATAAAAAATTATTATACTATGAAACGTCAAATAACTTTCATGGGTTGAAGACAATTTACAACATCTTATATCATGAAGGCAATTTTGAACTTACTTAAGATGCTGTCAAAACTACCGCAGTGTGGTAAAATTTATTTAATTTTTGGTTCCAAAGCCTTAAAAAATTACTTTATTCAGCTACAAATCATATACCACACAATTTATCCTTTTAGTGTGTAAAATTCAGAAATTTTTTAGTATATGCATAGAGTTGTAAAACTATCACCACTATCTACTTCTAACTTTTTTGATGTTTTATTTATTTTTGAGAGTCAGGAAGAGACAGCGTGAGCAGGGGAGGGTCAGAGAGAGAGAGATACAGAATCTGAAGACAGGCTCCAGCCTCTGAGCTGGCTGTCAGCACAGAGCCAGACACAGGGCTCAAACCCACGAACCGTGAGATCATGACCTGAGCTGAAGTTGGACGCTTAACCGATTGAGCCACCCAGGCACCCCTCAACTATCTACTTTTAGAACATTTCCATCCTCCCCAAAAGAAACCCTGTATCCATTAGCAATCATTCCTCACTCCCATCCCCACTCAGGAAACCAATATTTACCTTCTGTGTCTATGAATTTGTCAGTTCCAGAAATTTCACATAAAGAGAATTACATGGCCTTTTGGTTTTTTGTTTTTTTTTCCTTCACTTAGCATACTGTTTTCAAAGTTTATCCTTGTTGTAGCATATATAGGTTCTTCTTTTTATTGTGAATATTCCATTGTATGCATATAGGACACTTTGGTTATCCGTTCATCAGTTGATGGATATTTGGGATGTTTCTACCTTTTTGGCTATTATGTATGATGCTCCTATGAACATTTGCATACAAGTTTTTATGTGGTCATGTGGTTTCATTTCTTCTTCATTTCGTAAACCAAGGAGTGGAACTGCTGGGTCATGTGATAGAACTCTAAGTTTAACAGTTTGAGAAAATGCCAATCTATTTTCTGAATGTAGTGCATATTTGTTTTAAAGCCACCAACTTGAATGTAGAGATAGCTTTGGAAAAGCATTTTCTCCCTATACTTTAAGGAAATAGTTACTGCAAATAATTAGAATCTGACAGCAAAGTTTGGAGTTAACTTGAAGATTCAACTTCTTCTTACATTGGAGGTTGGTGGTGGAAAATTGAGTATTTTTAAAAGCTTGCCTGAGCAATAGTGATTACATGGGTAAATCTCTCCCATTTAATTTAGAACCTAGCACTGTATGGCATACAGCAGATGCCCAGGTTATGTGTGTAACTGACCCCCAAGTTGGGAAGCAGAAGGAAGCACAAAAAATAAACTCTAAATAATTTTTCCTAACTGGTATCTTTATTTCCCTAGGAAAATGGATAATAAAGACTTATGAAATTTTCTGCCTTAAAAAAACAAGTGAAATATAGCAACAAATGTTATATATAAATACGCGAGAAACAACCAAACCCAATTACATATACCACAGGGGGGTCATAAAGAAGAAATTAGACTTATCATCTGAGGAGATTTGCAGGCTCAACTGAGTCTCTTCCCCACTGAGATTTCTTTCTGTTTTAGCTCAAGCTAGCCATAAATAAACTTGAGTAGTATTCAAGATGTTATTAAAGAGTCTCTGGGAATGGCGATAGAGTCTGTGAATTTGGATTCCACCAAGTAAAAAGATAATCAGAATATCCTAGCAACCAGAATAAAGAGAACAGTATGAAGACTGAGGCAGATGGCAAGATGTTCATCAACATATTCTTCATCACCCAAAGGCGATCAATGCAAATATTGTGGTATACTTTCTGTCATGTTTTTACCTGTGCCATTCTAGGAGGGATTTGGGAAAAACTTTATATAAGCCTGAATTCCCTTAGCCTAAAGTTGTGTAATGTTTTTCTCCTGCTCATGGTGTGATGGTCTGTGATGTGTTCACTTGGCTGGGCTCTAGTACTTGGTTACTCAGACACTAATCGAAGTGTTGCTGTGAAGGTTTTCTGTAGACATGATTAAATTGATAAACTGGTGACTTCAATTTGGGGAGGCAGGATTCAATCAGTTGAAAGGCCTTAAGAGAAGTTCTGCAGCTTCCCTGAAGAAAAAATTTCACCTGCAGATAGAAGTTTCAGCCCCTGCTGGAGAGTTCCAGCATGCCCTTCTTGATGGTCTGCCTTAGAGAGATCTGGACTTGCCTAGCCAGCACCCACAAATGTGTAAGCCAACTCCTCATAATAAAGTCCCCAGGGCATTTCCAGACATCAGGAACTATCTACTCCAATGTTAGATTGGAGGACAGGAAAATTCCTAGTAGAAGTCAAAGAGACTTCTTTTTCTCCAGAATCCCTAGGTTGATTTCAATGCTTTCATTTTTTTTTTTCACCTGTAGACATTGTGTAAAGAATACAAGTACAAAATATTATTTGGGTGTGGTGGTAAACTAGGACAATAGGGTACAAGGTTATGACTGAGTTTTACCCCATCCTAAAATGTGTATCTTATTGTATTCAGGATAGGGTATGGAGAGGGGATAAACCACTTAATCTTGGTAAACCCCCAAAACACATGTGAAACCAGAAAAAAGTTATTAACTGTATTGTATAAATGATACTTGAGTCTAGTGAGTAACAGTTCAAGGGAACTGGCAAAGCTGTTATCCTAGTGAGATTTAATGTAACTTGTCAGAGTGGTGAAATCACTTAAGTAGCAGAGTGAAATTACTGTCATGTCGCCTGCATAACTGCTTATACATTTTCTGTAAGCACCTTTATGACATTAAGCAGCTTGATCAACAGTGCTGTATTTATACTATTTTGTCATACACAGACCTCTACCATAAGAAATGGGACATGATTTTCTTGCAGTGAATTTGTTGTAATACTTACTTCAGGTCTCTACTGAGAACTATATTAATTCTGTCCTTTAAAGGTCGGTTCTTCTCAGGAATCGAGAACCATGTCTTCCTACCCATAATCACCAAATTCTGTTTACCTAGAAAATCACATAAAAATAAGTATATTTTGGGAGTATACATTTATATTTTCATATATCTACTTATACGTGCATAGATATGATTGTCACAGTGACACCTAGTGGATCTGCTTCAAAAATTAAAATTTAAAACAGGCTTATCAAAATTGACATTTATCACCCATTTCCTAATTATATTAACTATTTTTCCCTGTGTCAATTTTTATAGCCAATATTTAGTTTTAATCAATTGCAATCATGTATAATAGTGAATAGCCAAGATTCTGGGACAAAGTGCTGAAGCTGAACATATTCTGTCATCTACCAGACAAGTCATGAATCTTCTGTGCGTTACTTTCCTTATTTATAAAATGGAGGTAACAGTAGTTTCTAGTTCTAGGGTTATAGAGGGGATTGAGGATTTAGGGTTATAGAGGGGAATGAGGATTTAGAACATCTAGCAAGTACTGTTTAACTGTTTGATATGATAGTATTACTCATTTGTATACTTTTTATTTATATTAATAGCGATACTTTTCAAGATAGTTGCTTAGTAGTCCACTCACTTAAAAAGCTAAAACTTTCAATTGGGCCTCTCTTTTAAGTATAATGCTTCTATAGAAACTTTATACACATAGCTTCCATTTTTGATAAACTACATGGAAGATAAATCTTAGGAGTCAGATATCGGGATCAAAGGAATATATACATTTCTATAATTCTTGGTATGTTCTGGTGGGCTATCAAAAGTAGTGCATGTGTCTGTTCTAAAGACTCATCATTAGTTTGAATTTTTTTTTCACAGTAAAATATTTTTAATACATTTCCCAGAAATTGTGAAACTGAATTACTATAACAATTAACAAATTGTTTTAAGTCAAGTGGTTCTGAATTCATTGCTTTCAACTAAATTGAAAGAGAACCCAATGAAGGGTCTGAGAAATCACTGAGTCAGGAACATAAGAGCAGATTTACAGGAGACAATGCATTTGAGGTACTAGATTAATAAAAATAATTTTAGACAATGGATTGTCATGTGATTTCTGGCATATAATTCAGGAGTTCAAGGAATTAAAGGAATTGAATGTAATTTCTTTCTTTTCTATCTTCTTTCCATAGACAAGTTACTCAGCACTCATATTTACAAAAAATCAAAATAAAAAATTAAATTGTTCCTGAGCCCTATATCACTCCAGGAATATATTATCATCATCCAAGGAGAGGGATGGCTACATGAACTAATCAAGAAGAAAAAGCCCCATCCATTTCATTAAGAGATGCATTTTCAATAAATGTTCACTTTTTATTTTTAGTAGTTATTAGAATACATAATATTTTGCTTCTACTTATATAATGATAACCATGGTAATGATAACTACTCTTATGGCTCAGTAACTGTAGCCTTAAGGTCTCATGAAGTGAAGTTTTAAAATTTCAATGTATATGTATATTAATGTGGGTACATATATTTTATTAATAGAAATATAGGGGGAAATTCTATGAATAAAGTAAAATAGAATGCAAGTTTAAGGAGATAAAAGGAGTAAAGAAAAATTTCTGACTTTTGATGAAGAGCTTGTTCACATATATTTTTTAAAGGTTACTGAGTACAAAATTGTTATGATATATAGATTCAGTGGATACACTTAAGAGTAATGTGACAGATTTTACAATGTCAATATTTATAACCCCAAAATTTGCATCTATTTAAACTTAGGATACAATTTTTATTCTCAACCTAAAATTCTCAACACAGGCACATAGTTTTTTAAAAATTCTAGAAAATCACTTCTGTCAAGAAAATGTTTTTAGTAAGAACATGTCTGGAAGGCAAGATGATGACTTCAGTTCTGAACATGTTGCATTTGTGGGTACCACAAAGGGACATCCAAGTGCAGAGTAAGAGCTAACACTTCTGTTGCACTTATCACACAGTTTAAATCACCAGGAGGGGTGTTTTCTACAAACTTCTTTAATCCTCACTACCACCTTTTTAAATTTGTACTATTAATGTCACCACTTTATAAATGGGGATACTGAGGCACAGAGAAGTTAAGAGATTCACCCAAAGCCACAAAACTCTCCTAGCTAGCGGAACATATATGAATCCAGACAGTCTGCATGAAGAGTCTGTATTCTTTACACATTATAATACCTCTTGAGGGGTTGAGTTGGAAATACAGAGTTGAGGGTCATGTGAGCCTTTAGACAGTAATTTAAACCACGGAACAGATGAGATTAGGTAGGAAGAGCAACATTTTTTTTAGCAGCAGGAAAACGAGAGCCTCAGTGTTAAGGGTCTTTATGAAGATGCTTCTGGCATTCCACTGCAGGCTCCTGGACTCTTGAAAAGCCTCCAGCCTTCATGGTGCCCCCTGTAGAATATGCACTCCATTTTCAAGAACAGAGCTTTAGGTGTTAATAAGGAGATATCAATTATCAAAAATATCAGAGCCAAGAGGTGAGGAATTCTGATGAGAAATGGTACAGACCTGACCTAACAACAAAGGTGGAGATGATGAGTAAAGAGCATAGAAAGACATGGGGGGAAAAAAAACAAAAAACAAAAACAGCAAGCCAAGACAACCTTGGTATCCTTTCATCCACTCATCCAAGAAATACTGTGTTTACTGAAAGCAAGTGAATAGGCCAGGCATTGGATGCTTTTCCTATTACCAGATCATACTTTGGATTCTAGAGAGTAGTTCATGTCAATTCTTTAGCTTCAAGCTTTGCTATCTTGTCTCTACCAGTGACCCAAGTGCAAGACCCAAGGACCCTGTAGCTGTTAGAGTTATGCCGCATCTGCTTTCTGCTTGACTGTTTCTCTTTTAGTCTACTACTGTTTCTTCTATGAGCAAATAAATACAGATCTTTTAGGTTTTAAATGGGCATCTCACCACCATATTCTTTTCCTTGGTTGTCCTGTCCAGTGGCTCAATTCACCTACTTTCCTGTACCTAAAACTATCCTAGAGATCCCACAAATTCCTCAAACCTCAAAATTAATCATTACAACTGCACACTCTTCTCCACTTCTTTATTCTCCATGTCACCCAGACTCTCAAACTGAAGATCTGAGAGTTCATTCTTGATCCCTTCCTGATCTCCATACTGAGTATCATGGAACCGTTTTTTTATTTTTTATTTTTATTTTTTTTTAATATTTTTATTTATTTCTAGGAGAGAGAGAGAGACAGCGTGAGCAGGGGAGGGTCAGAGAGAGAGGGAGACACAGACTCTGAAACAGGCTCCAGGCTCTGAGCTGGCAGTCAGCACAGAGCCCGACGCGGGGCTCGAACCCACGAACCGCGAGATCGTGACCCAAGCGAAAGTCGGACGCTTAACCGACTAAGCCACCCAGGCGCCCCTCGTTTTTTTAGACTTTTATCCTCTTCACTGATCTCCAGGCCCTATGGTTGTTTGTAGCAGCTATGCCAAAGGCCTCCTCCTCTCCTTTCCACGCTCTTTCACCAAGGCCTGTACCAGGCTACTAATTCTGCCCAGTACCTCAATTTACGCGTGCCCACATAAAATTTCAAAGGTTTTTTTTGTTTTAAAAAAAGGGTGACAACCTTGGGAACTGCATATAAATCAGCGGTAAGACCAAAGGTCCCTGATTAACATGGAAAACTTTCAAAGTAAAATTTGTACTGACAAGCTTACTCAAACAAGATGTTTCTCAAACCTCAATCAGTTAAAAATCCCACATTACCTTCTACTGATGGCGTTGTAGTCATTCTTTGGAAATACTTGAATTCATTCCTATAAGTTAGACAAACAGCGTTACTCATAACATTATCTGCTGGGCTCAAGCTCTAACGCTCCCGGCAGACGCTGCCCTGCGGGGCGTGGGGGTGGGTTCTCAGGCACCAGGACTTTGTTCCGCGGCACGCGCAGCGGGGAAAAGTCCTCGCCAGGCAACAGGAGCACGACGCAAACCAAGAACAGGGCCTGCCGGCTCCAGACCGCGGAAGGACGCAGTGGCCTAGCGCTGGTTCGCTCAGGTACCAAGTCCGACCCCACCCTCCCACTGAAAGTGTCAGGCCCCTCCCTGGTGCCACGATCAAAGGCAACCCGCGCCAGCACCCCTCTCCCCAAACACCCAAAACACTTCCGGGCCCGCAGGTACCTGAGCGGGGGCCAGGGCAGGTCCCCGTTCTTGCCGATGCCCATGTTTTGGGATACAGCGACGATGCAGTTCAGTGGACGAACCATGGCAGCAGGTACGAACACCACGGCGCACCTCGCCGCGCCGGGAGTCCCCACCGAGTTTGGCGCGAAATCGCAGCCGCCCCGCCCCCTCGGTCCCATTTGTGCGGCTGAGACTCCGCCTCCCGCCCCGGCGCACGGCAGGGTCGTAACGTGCTCGCGCCCGCGGACGTGGGGAGCTGCGGTCGCGCTCCCGGCTCGTCCTTGGCCTAGTGTCGTCACTCTGGGCCCCGAAATGTCGGGTCGGAAGCCTGCCTCTGGTCGTGCCGCTGCCGCCGGCCCAGCTCCTGCAAAGCAAGCGGTTTTGAGCAGATTCTTCCAGTCTTCGGGAAACCTGAAATCCACGTCGTCCCCTACGGGTGCATCCCCGAAGGCCGACCCTGACTCCGACTCCGCAGCGCCCCTAGCGTCCACTCTCCCGCCTAAGTGGCCGCCACACGTGGTGGGTTCGGTCCAGGACGGGGCGGGGCCGGCGGGGAGGTGGGGCGAGACAAGATGGGCGGGGACGGTGCTTGTGGGTGGGGCAGGAGGAGGTGACGAATGTACGCGCGGATCGACGAGCTGGGCAGGTCCGCTGAGGTAGGGGCGCGCTCAGAAAGGAGAAGGCGGGAAAAGCCAGGCCGGCCTTTCTGTTCAAGATTTAGGTCAAAGACTGTGCTTTCCACTTGGGAGTAATAGACTTGAGGCCAAGATCACACAGGTTCTTGATGGCAGACCTGAGACACGAACAAAGGGCTCCTGACTTCCATTCTGATGGGGGTAGAGGCCTGTGGACAAAGGATACATCTTTTAACCTCCATTCTGCCTCTTTTTTTTTTTTTTAATGGATTGGAAGTTGAAGAGGCGCTTTATTTACTTTGTTTATATATACTTGGTTAAGTGACTGGAAGAAAATTGCCGCTAAATCTCTAGTTTTTTTTTTTTTTTTAATGTTTTATTTATTTCTAGGAGAGAGAGTGAGAGAGACAGCGTGAGCAGGGGAGGGTCAGAGAGAGAGGGAGTCACAGACTCTGAAACAGGCTCCAGGCTCTGAGCTGGCAGTCAGCACAGAGCCCGACGCGGGGCTCGAACCCACGAACCGCGAGATCATGACCTAAGCGAAAGTCGGACGCTTAACCGACTAAGCCACCCAGGCGCCCCTAAATCTCTAGTTCTTACGGCTGCAATAGTGGTGCTAATATTTTAAGCGACTAGGGTCAAAGCAGTCATAGAGTGCAGTTCCTTAGTGACTACTCCTTATAGCCAAGATTGTAAAGTCTGAGACACAATATGGGTTAGGTTCCTTAAGGTGGTACAGATGTGAATGGTTAGTCATTGGTTCCTTCCTGTTGCTTGCCACCCCTCAACTGAATAAATAAGTAAGTTTGTTTTGTTTCTACCAGGTTAACTGCCACCAAGAGAAAACCTAAGGTGAGCCCCTCACTGGGGCTCCCCTGGTATTGTATTTTTGAGCTGAGGATAAGGAAAGGGATTGCAGACTGGCTTTTAGCCACCTTCCAAATTTCTTTTCTTTTGTTTTGAGAGAGAGAGTGAGAATAATCGGGCAAATGGGCAGAGAGAGGGAGACACAGAATCCCAACCAGGCACTGCATTGCCAGTGCAACTAGAGGCAGGGCTCATCAAACTCACAAACCTGTGAGATCATAACCTGAGCCTTTCCAGTGCGCCTTCTGAGCCACCCAGGTGCCTGCACCCTCCAAGTTTTAAAACAGATGGGGTGACAGCTTCTTCAGAGTCTTCTTCCTTTCATTTATATTTCTTCTGTAAAGTGATTGCTCCCCTTCCATCTTTGATTTTTGATGATAGTCTACATTTTCATGAATACACCAAGACTTTATTTTACACCAAACCTTTAGAGGTTATTCAGTGAAGATCTTAATTTTTTATAAGGTTCCCTGCCAGCAAATAGTGCACAACCTTATGGTTTCTTTGGTGGTGAACATAAGCCAAGTTTGAATATGAAACAGGTACATTAGAATTCACGTTTCAAAATGATAATGTTCTTTTATTATCTACTTAATTTCACCTTTCCTAAATGGATATTTTTTAAAGCTATTTTATTTAACATAAGTAAGTAGGATGATCAAGAGTTTGCAATCTGTGTTAGGTGAACAATGACTGAGTACGTAAAGATATCATTCTTGGTTCTAATTGATTGTAGCAGGCCTTGGGGTGCTGAGGCTTATGACGTGCCAATCTTTACATTGTCTTTCATGACGGTGAAGACAGTTCACCCACAGTTCTTTCCAGAGTCGAAAGTATATGATTCTGTGAAGAGTGGAAGGGAAAGACTTGTCATTCAGAAGTAAGGTTTAAGTTATTTTGTATACATCAAGTTTTGAGGTTAGACATAACACATCATTTGCCAATACAGGTTGTGGGAATTGGCAGAAGTAAAAAGAGACCACTGGAAAGTGATGAGCCTGTACAAGAGAAAGCAAAGAAAGTCCAAGAAAAGGAAGGAAGAAGTGATTCAGTAATGTCTGGGGATGCTGGTGAGTCTTGGGGTGAGAAGTCTTCATTCTCAGGAGTCATAGCACTGATACTGTATTTTCCAAAGAGCAGAGGAGGTTATTGGAGGGTTGTGCCATTTTTTCCTTTGTAGAGAAAGATCTCCATTGTGCTTGAATAGTTTGGCCCCTCCATGTGTGGTGGTGTGAGTAGGAGGTTGGGGGAGTGGAGGTAGAGCTGGAGTTCTGCAATTCGCTATAGTTCTCTTCATTTTCTCTTTTATTTCTCCTACCTGATTTTTGTCCTGATTTTTTAAAAATCTTTATTTATTTTGAGAGAGAGAGAGAGAGAGAGATTGCCAGGTAGAGGCATGCCTAGCTTAGAGCCTGATGTGGGACTTGATCCCGTGACCATGAGATCATGACCTAAGCTGAAATCAAGAGTTGGATGCTTAATCGACTGAGCCACCCAGGTGTCTCTGTCCTGCTTTTAAAAGTAAAACATTCATGTTATAAAAATTTCAAACAATACAGAAATGGAGAAGGTAGTCAATGAAAGCACCCCATAGTCCCTATGTTTCAGTGAGGCCTTATGATAATGCATATTTTGTGTCTTATATATATTATATGCTGTATTTTTAGACCAAAGTAAGCTAGAGGAAACAATATGTTATCAAGAAAATCATAAGAGAAATACATTCACAGTAGTATACTGTTATTTAATGAAAAAAAAAAAAATCCCCAGGTAAGTGTAGCTATGTAGTTCAAACCATGTTGTTTAAGGGTAAACTGTATTTTATAAATTGTATTGTACTGTATGTATTGATTTGCAACTGTATTTTCCACTTAACAGAGAACTTCTAAACAGTTTGCAGTGTCAGAACATGTAAATCTACTCTGTGGTTTTTTAGCATGGTAGTGTTCTTTCTGTATGCATCTTTGGATAAAACCACCATTCTTGAGCTCTTGGACTTTGGGGGTGGTGTTGGATTTATAGATGGCTGAGAAGTATTTCTTTAGTTTTTGGCCTTGGAGAAGTTGTAAGGGATGACATAAAATGCTTCTTCCTCCATTATCCCTCAAAATGAGGTAGAGAATGAGATCAAAGGAAAGCCAAAAGAAAAAAGAAGTCACAATTTAGAGGGGTCAGGCATTAAGGTATCTATCCTTCCTCAGAAGGTAAAATTTGGATTTGGGGTCAGCATGAAAGCCTTAGTATGAAATACCTACAGAAATGGAGAGGTATGCTTAAAGAGAAAGATAAATCTGATAATAATACCGTTTTCTGTTGTCAGTAAGGCAGTCGACTTAGGATGTTTTGAAATAAGACTTTGCTACTTGTTAAAAATGGCGCTCAGGAAAAAAGGGAAAGGAACATCTACAAGTCAAGCTCTTCCATGTGTTCTCCTGTCTTTTTACACCTGGTGCTTCATTTTAGATCAGTTCTCCTGCTATGTTTCCAAATTCAGTAATCTTCTGTGGCCTAATTTGTCATAAATCTCATTCAGTGACATATTCATTTTAGATATTGTACATTTTTCATCCTTAGAAGTTCTACTTCTTTTAAAAAATTTCTTGTTTCTCCATGTGAATTATATCTCAGTAAAGCTGTTACCAAGGAAACCCCCAAAAAACAAACAAAAAACAAATTAAAAAAAAAAAACCCTTCCATTTCGTTCTTTATGTTTTTTTCTTTACCTTTTTGATTATGTGGAATATATTTATAATAGGTGTTTTCATGTTTCTGTATGGTAATTCTGTCATGTCTGTCATTTTTGGGTCTGTAACTCTTGACTATTATACCCTTTGTTCGTACCTAGTGGTAGTAATTGTTTGGATCATAGATACTTTGAGTTCTGTGTTAATTACATGTTAGGCTGTGTGTTTCTTTAAAGAATGTTGGACGTTGTTCTTGCAAGCAGTTAAATTCTTCATGGATCTGTTTGATCTTTTTAAGAATTGTTTTCAAATTTTAAAGGAGAAGATTTAGAGTAGTTCTATTTTTAAGGTTTGATTTCTAGAGTTGGGAAGGAGTGTCTGGTAGCAGTAGCACATTACTGTATAGCATTTCCACCACATGGAGACAACAGCCATTAATAACCTTTAGAACATGGGTAATAGTAAAATATAGTAACAATTCTAGAAAATGATGAGGTTTGAGTATTTATCATCTTTGTTTTTAATAGAACTTATTTAATTGTTTGGTTTATATAACCCAATTTGTAATAATGGCTGTGTTTGGTAGCTGATTCACAAACTTCTTAAAGGTTTAACAGTTGCCTCTAGTAAGTAAGCCAATATCAATTTGCCACATCTAACACACCATTGATCTTTCTCTGTAAGCTAGTTTGAGTTTTCTCATAGCTTGAGTCTCCAAGGATGAACTCTTGGAGAGTCAGACAGAAGCTGTACTGATTTTGAGATCTAGGTTCAGAAGTTACATAGTGTCACATCTGCCTTACTGTGTTAGTTACAAAGGCCTGTCTTAGTTCACTGAGAGAGAACATAGATCCTGTCTCCCAGCCCAGGAACATCAGCATCACATTATAGGAAGAGCAAATGGGAGGGGATATATATGTTCGGCCGTCTTTGATAAATAAAATCTCCTACATGGCTCAAAATTCAGACTTGAATTTTGATACTATTAATATTCTTATATGAATTACAGATAAATGTAATATAAGACTCTATCTCAGAAGCATTTTGATAAATACAAATATCTGTAATCTTAATGCTCTATAAATAAATACAGACTTGTATGAATACAATCCAAAGGCTTGTAACCCACCCCCATCCTGAGAAAGTTACATTATATCTATAGAAGAGAAGTTCTTATATAAT